CGGTGCCCGCACGGCCGCGGCCTCCACGCGTCTGGGTAGGGATCCCCGGCAGCCGGGAAAGCCGAGCGGCCCGTCGGATTTGCTGAGCTGGCGGGGACACGGGGCAGGGATGAGGTTTGAATTCCTGGCGTCGCAGATGCTCAGAGGCCGAACGGACGAAGCCCTGAGCAACCGACTGTCACTGACCCTCCGCTGAGCAGCGGAGGCCGGGTGAGGTGACCTCCCAGATCCCCTTCCCAGGCTCAAAAAAATATGGAGCCTGGGATTCTACGAATAGGAGCAGGGAGGGCCAGCTAGCACGGCAGGCTTGAGAGGGTCCAGTGGAGGGCCACAAAGAAGATTAAGGGACTGGAGCATCTTTCATATCAGAAGAGACTGAAGGAGCTGGGTCTGCTTGTTCTAGAGAAGAGAAGACTGAGAGGGGGTCTCTTTAAGGCATATAAATACCTCAAAGAGAGATGCAAAGAGAATGGTGGCAGGCTCTTCAGTGGTGCCCAGTGACAGGACAAGGAGCAATGGCCATAAATTAAAAGACACGAAGTTTCACTTCAACATGAGGAAGAACTTTATGTTGCTCAGTTGTTTAGAGTATGGTGCTAATAAAACCAAGATTGTGGGTTTGATCCCCATATGGGCCATTCACTTAAGAGTTGGACTTGATGATCGTTGGGTATCCCTTCCAACTCAGAATATTCTGTGAAATCTGTTGATGGTGGCACTGGAACAGGCTGTCCAGGGAGGTCATGGAGTCTCCCTCTCTGGAGACATTCAAAACCCACTTGGATGCATTCCTGTGTAACCTGGTCTAGGTGACCCTGCCTTGACAGGGGGATTGGACTAGATGATTTCCAGAGGTCCCTTCCAGTCCTAAAAATTCTGTGACTCTAAGCTTACATCCTTCCTGGATGCTGCATGTTGTAGACAGAGGATTCTTGTAGTCCTCATGTAGTTGTGTATTGCTTTTGTGCATCCAGAGAGGGAAGTCGAGTTAAGTCTTATGGCATTTAATTTTGAGCTTAGGATCTGTCACAAGAGCACTACTTTTTTTTGGATCATTTGTTTGCTTTTTAATAAATTAATAGTAGGTAATATATAAAGTATCAAAGTGAGATAATACAAGTAAGCTGTTAAAAAACAGCAGAGAAAATACATTTACATGGTAGCTCTAGCAAAGCATTAGGTGAAAAATAATTACCTTTTTTTGTATTGTGTGCGACCAGAAATTCACATTTGAAGCCTTTATTTGTCAAAGAGAGTACATGAATACAGACAGGGAAAAGACATAAAATGTACTTGTGTTTTGTTGTTTTGCTGCAGCATTACAATGCTTAGTTTTGTGGTTAAAGTAGATGTTGACATCCAAACATTTCTCTTGTTAATATATTAAAATCTAAAGGAAAACAGAGGTGGTGATTAAATTAGCATAGAGTTGGGTTTTGAATAATCTTAACTTTTGACAAACTGGACACAAATGTGATATATTTATGTTTTTTTCATGTCAGTTTCTTTCAGATTGGAATTACTTGGAGAGTTCAGACTAGAAATTTTGGAATTACAGAAAAATAGTGATTAGTCTAAAAAGGGACAATCAAGAATTGCCTGATTTTTTTTTAAAATTATTTCTTTAAATTATTCTGAAACTAGATTCAAACATTTTTTTTCTCTAAATGTTACAGAAGATTTTTTACTTTTGTTGTGCTAATTTACTTCTGTGATTAAGTGATATTTCCAATTTGTGCTTATGGGGAGGATGACTTAGAAAAAGTTCCAATGGATTTGTCACTAAATACTGGTTTTCATGACTTAGAAACTTTCTGCATAAAAGGGTTAGGTTATACCTGTCAAATGCAATTGTAGCAAGCACTTCTTTTCCTCCAGCTGCATGTAATTAAAACTGGTTTTTGGTTCCTTTAGCAGAGCACACTTAGAAATTATCTGTTCTAGGAGCTTTGAACGACTCTGGAATTCTCGAATATTAAAAAAAAATCTTAACGTAGATTAAAATCTAACTTTACAAACCATAAAAAATGCATGATAGACCTTTACAAACTGACTGTTATGCAATAACATATTATATGAAACTTTATCCATTATGCAAATGCATGATACACATAAAATAGCATTTAGTTCTAGTAATTTTATGTGCATTTATTATCAGATTATGTGTATTTGAAGAGGGACAGAGCAATTATCTTGTTGATATCAGGGAGCTGAGTATAAACCACTGTTCAAGTAACCACTTTACTGTAAAATTTAATCCTCCTTTTTTTGGATAACTGTCTTGTTTGTCTTGCAAACTTGGAAGATGTACTTCTTTGGACATACTTCCTGGAAGAGGCACATACTTGCGGATGCATTGTCCGCATGGAAACTCAGGCTTAAATTCTAAACAGGGCAGTAATATAAGGTGGCAGTTTACATCTGGTTGCGGGAGGAGGAGAAAGACTTCTCTGAGTACTGGGTGTGAGGAGCTGCTGACCCCGTGCCTGCTTTGCACCAGGGAAGGTTTGATGTGCCGGCGGTGGAAGCAGCAGTTGTCACTAAAAGTCACATTGAAACTACTGAAAACTATGTTTCTAAATACCAGCTACTGTAACCTAAAGTTGCTTGACCTCCCCATTGCATTTTGGAGTTTCAGTTGTAGTTGAGTGCAGAGGCTGCTGAAGCACTGAGGATGCACAAGCTCTGCCTAGTTTAGGAAGTGACAAGTAGGTGATGAGTGCATGTGCACTCCTAAGGCTGGGAAATAGGAGCTATTGACCAAGGAAGTGAGAGGAGGTTATTAAGTTTTGAAGAAAAGGAGATAAATACTGGCAGGAACTTGAAGACAATTTTTGAGTGTTCTAGTACTGTGTGATTTCATGTATATCCTTAAATTCCATCCTATCTGTCCATTACCTTTACTTACCTAGTATTTTTTCTCTTTGCTGTTCTTAAAACTAATGCTGTTTGCATTCACAGCCTGTTTATGTGCACATCTGGTTCCGGTCAGACTGCAGGCTTGCTTCAGTGGGACTGTTGGAGTGAATGAAAAACGAGTGGGGTCTTATCTTAGAAACACCTTGAGACTATTAAACTGGAATTACTCTATTAAAAGACAGGACAAGTTGAGGTCCATTATATGAGGGAGGGCATCTGGCATTTGTGATGCATATTAAGATTGTGTAGAGTCTTGGCTTTAATTTTCAATGAAAAAGTAGTATCTGGCATGTCAGGCTGCAGAGATAACCTTCCAAGTAAGACCTGAGCTCAAGTGATGTCTGCTTGAGGCCGATGTGTCTAAAGTCCAAATGTCACTCTCAGCTGTTTAACTACAAACCCTTGTTATCAGGGGCTTGGAATGGGGATCAGTATTGGTACCAAAGCCCATGGGATTTGTACTTGAGTAATACATCTGTATGACTGCTTCTGAGTAGAGAGGGTACTTACTTACAAAGGAAGAATGGGTTGGGAAGCAGTCATCAGAAGGAAAAGAAACAAAAAGCATAAAAGCAGTATTTTTGGAAAGTCATCTGTCAGCATATTCTTCTATTAGTGGATGTGACTGTTATTAAATAGTAAATTAATTGCCATGAAAGATGATTTTATTTGCTTGATTTCTCGAGAATTAATTTTGTTCTTTACCGTGACACCCTGGATTGTGGGATGGGTAAATGTGATCAACTGGTTTCTAGACTGTGAACAAACTAGTGTATACAGGGCAAGAAAATGAAAAACACATGAAAGATAAGCTTAACTATTATTTCTCCATTAATGAATGTTTGGCTTTTGTGAATTTTATGGGAGAATGTTTGGGAAACTATATTTTTCTTCTTGATTAAAATTTGTTTTAAAATAGACTCAGAGCAGAGAATAATTCTTTTAACAAAGTTTTTTTAAAAAGCTTTTTTTTACAACATCAGCATAGCTAATTAAAGGACTATTTAAAATCAATTAAAGGGTCAGTTTTTCTTTGTGGAGATCATACGGAATATAATATAAATAAATGCTAGAAATAAAATATATAACTGTTCTTATTAGACAAAGATGATGACCTAACTCAAAGTTATTGTCCTTTTCAAATACAATTTTCCTCCTTTCTGTTCTATAAGTGCTACTTGCATCACAAAACAGACAGCAGGAATCCAATGTTAAAAGTGATTTATTTGATAATGGACGGTGGAAACTGAGAATCTTAAATCCTGAGCACTGTGAATAACCTGTGTCCTTTTAGCAATAATTATCTGACCATCTTTTGTCAGGTTTATGGCTACTAATGACTTGATGACGGAACTACAGAAAGATTCTATCAAGCTGGATGATGACAGTGAAAGAAAGGTGGTGAAGATGATTTTGAAATTACTGGAAGATAAGAATGGTGAGGTGCAAAACTTGGCTGTCAAATGGTAGGTATTCTTTTTCTGTGATGTAAAGAATTGATGATGACTGAACAACATAAAGTACTTTTGAAAAACTCAAAAACTACCACTGCTACACAAAATAATTGTGAAACTGATGTCCACAAAGGAACCCTTGCTCTTAGAGGTTACTTGCCTTAATTGTAGTTTCTTACAGAACTATCTTTTGTTGACACTGGGGATTAACACTTGAGATTTCAGACAGCAAATAGCAGTTGCAGCCCTTGCTGAAAGTATTTGAGTGACACACTTGTTCTTTGGTGATAATTCTTGAATGCTAAATAGATACAAATAGCTTATAATTCAGGGGTAGTTGCCACACCGGTATTTGACTGTGAGAAGTTAGATGATGTATAGGGGAAGAATTGTAGTATTGGAGTACTTCTCAAGCAGAGATGAAAACACAAAAAGGTAAAGATATGGTCTTGGTTATCAAATATGGAACTTCCCTTTTCATTAGCATTCAGAATACTGTGTTAATGGTTTTGCAGGCTTTACAGGAACTGTAAATGTTTTATGGGGTCAGGGTGCAGTTACTTTTATTTCAGAAACTTTTGTTGCTTCACTACCCTCTCATCCTCGCTTTATTTAGTTTTACATGTGGTGTGACTTTTCCAGAGCACCCTTTGAAGAGGTGCCACGTTTATTATGACTTTCTGTTCTTGACCATTCTGACTTTTTGCGCCCATGAAAGAGGGCCTCTCTTAAGAAGTTCTGGTGTTTCTGAGAATGATTCTTGTTTGCGAGCTCAGGTTTTTTTATATTCTGTTTACACTACCTGTATTCCATGAGGCATGGATTGAAGTAAGTTTGCTTAAGTACAGCTTAAGTTCCATGACTTTGAAACAGATTGCTTGTACTCAATTAGAGAAGTATACTGTTATGAAACTTGGCTCAGGCTTAGAATTGTCTTTGTGTGAAATAGCATTTTGTGGAAAAGTTATGTTATGGCATACATGCAGTACTCATTTTCAATGTACATCCTATAGTTTTTGTGAAGGTTAGATTAATGCACATAGACAGTTTATACATCACAATCTTTAATGGTAGTGTCAGAATTTAGGATCTATAGTACAAGTAATGCTTATTGAAACATTAAAGAAAGATTGCAGAGGGGAGAGGATGAGAAAAAAGAGGGCTGTGTGTGTGCACATGTCCAATTTTATTAACAATTCTTCAGTTTTTAAAGTTACTTTGATATACTAATAAAATTTTTTGATTTAATTAATATGACAGGATCTCTTTCAAATTTGGAGTGTTTTCGAGGAGTCCAAATAATGTTAAGGAACAGTGTTAAATTTACTGCGATAAGAAACATCACGGAAAAATTTTCAGGCGAATTGTGAACATTTGTGTTGAAGGTATACATTGCAGAACTTATCAAGTTTTGGGGTTTTTTTTGGTTCTTGCATCCCAATCACTTGCAGATATGCTTTGGATAAAAAAAACCTCCACCACTCTTTTAGAGTATTCTTTTCTTATGGTGGCTTATACTCACAGTATTGTTCATGACAGTTGTAGGCCAGTCTGAGCTAATGCTGTTCTGCTGTTCTTGTCCTCCTTGTCCTTTTTCTTGCACTGCTTCTTATCTAGTTTTGTTATAGACTGGTTTGGGGAATTAGTTTTCTTCTGGCTTAGTGCTCTCCTACAATCAGATGAGCTTTAATAGAAACATTAGTGAGGGTGAAGGATGGGAGAGGCTGAACACTATTAAGCTGTAGTTATTTTGAAACAGTTCAAGCTAAAGTCTTCCATCTACTATAGCACTGAATGTAAGCCTGATTCATTGGCAAGTTAAATTCAGCCAGCATATTTTTCTTGACTTTTTTGATTTTAAATATTTTGTGTTCTTGTGTATTTCTGTTACTGATTTTCTGGCACTTTCAACTGAGGAGAGCATAAACTGTTTAGATCTCTCTTAATTTAAATTCTGTGACAAACTGTAGAGACTATCAGCAGTAACTTTCATCAGACTGGTACTTGATGACCCATTAAAGAATAGATTCCCTCTCTTATAGAAAAAGAATTTAAGGCAAGCCTATGTACTTTTGAATCTGTATTTGAGATAGATTTTTCCTGAGGAAGGGAGAAAAGTTTTGCAGCTTGTTAGGGGAGCTTCCTCTACAGGTAGATGAATGTAAATGCTCTGAATGGCAGAGGAGGTAAGGATCACTTTTCCAAGGTTGGATTCTTGAGGTCACTGAACACAGCAGATTTAAAACAACTCAGAGCAGCCGTAAAACTATTTATTTTTAGGCAAGTGTAGCAACAAGTAAGCAGTGTTCCTGGTTTTGTCTTTTCTGCTGCTTGAGTAGGGAGGACTCTATTGGTTAAAGTGCTGATGAACTTTTTTCTTATCTGTACAAAGCACACTAGTGATTTTGTTCCTGATATTTACAGTTATATTATGCTGGTTTTGGGCAGGATAAAACATGTTGTTCTTTAGCAGAAGTCAGTTTTTGGGTTTGTGGATATTTGGGTAGCTACCTTGCAAGATGACTGTCCAGTTCATTTCTGAATAAAAATGAAAATTAATGAGCTGCCTTAGTACTCCTGAAGTAAAAGTCAATCTACTCTAATCTTTGACCTTACAAAAGAGAAAGGAGTTTTATTTATCAAGCTTCTCTTGTAGGCCATAGATACAACCTATGTCAGTAACTGCAAGTTGTTTACCTTGTTTTTGTTAATTTTATGTAAAATTTTAAATCTGTTCATGTTGTCTACATTTTTTCTGCAGGAATGGTTTTTGCTTCATCTGATAGTCCTAGGCTGTTTTACAGTTAGCCACCATAGAAAACACTATTGCACATTCTTACAGCGTGGTATCGTGTGCACCTTATGGGAATAGTAGTTACACTACCAGTAGCTTTTTTTAGGATTATGTGCATCTGGATTAGTCAAGCAGTGTAGTTTGTCTAAACATAGATATTATGTTGGGTGGACTTGTTCTTCATTGATGATAATGTTGGTAATGTTCTTTTGGCCTGAATTTCACATTAATTGTTTCCTGTGTTCAGTATTGCAGTTTAAGGATGAACTGCTTCACTTTTTGAGCAGTTTTCTATGGTTTGCTGTTCTACCACTTAAACCTATGCATAGAAATCTTTATTGATTCACAGTGTGAAACATTTCCTGTGACCTGTAAGAACCCAGATGCACTCACATATCTCTGTCCATGGGGGAATTAAAGTACTTTCAGTGATTCCTCCCTTGTGATACTGTAATTTCTCTGCATTTACCAGTGTGACTCCTCTGAGCAGTGATTCAATACAACTAACTGCCTGACGCTGTGAGTCTTGAGTCATTAGTGTGAACAGGATGATGCATGTATTGGCTGTTGTGTGGCTGATCCAGTTGAGCAGCTTCAAAGCATTTTGGATGCTGTGGTAATACACTGCTGCGCATCATGCAATACTGGTGGTTTGAATAATGTTTTGGTTTTCTTTTTTTTTTAATTTGTGAATTTTAACTCTTCCCTGTAAATAAATGTGATTATTTGATAGCTATTAAAGTATGCCAGCTTGAGACTATAATTGAGTTGGTGTCCGTCTTCTTGATAAGGAGCTGCACTATCAACACCTTTATTTTCAAATGTATGTAACTTAAAGGAGGTAGTGTGTTATTGTTTATTTCCATAGGCAGCTGAATGACCTTTTGACTCAGAGAAACTGGACACAAATTATTGGTTAGTGAAAAGGAAAAGATCAAAGAACGCTTAAAACAATATCCAAAACAGCCTTCGAGTGTGTAAAATACTTACCTAAGTGCAAAAGCTTTGTAGTCAGAATTGATTTTATAAAAGAAGGTTATAGTTTATTTTTAACTTCTGATAAGCTTAGTTTGTAATCTAGGACTAATGTCATATCATTATGTCCAGTGATATCTACTGATTTTGAAGGCCAGGAAAGCTTGAGGCAATCTGTTTTTAAAATTTACTTCACAATTGGCATGTCTGCTTGATTGAACTAATAGGTTGAATAAATAGGACTGAAGGTACTGATTCAGGAAAAATATGGTTTAACACTTTCTAGAAACTGTAATGTATAGTGTTTGTCTGAATGTCATTAAAGTGGTTTGGTCATCTTTAAAACATTAGCAAAAAAGTGTTTCTATACTAAATTGAGATGAATCTAATTGACTGGCCTTGTCTGTGATTGTTTTAGTTACTTACATTTGAAGAACAAACATATTTAAATCCAAAGTATTTAGGAGCTGTTCAACAGTTCATGTTTAAAATAAGTCCTTACCTATAACTTGAGATGCTTTCACTTATGAACCAAGAGTTTTTTAGTGGCGACCTGCTTCTGATATGTCACAGTCAATGTATCAAAAGATGGTGTCAGCTGCCGGTCTCTAGGATGTGGAAGTTGTATTTTTGTAGGGTTGCACAAGAAATTGTAAACTGCAAAAAGCAGAAGACGTGACCTTTCTGGCCAGTAGAGGGGGGATGACATTGCCACCTGGAATTTCACCAACCAGATAGCAAACTCTCTCCATATTGATCAAAAGCAAACCTTTAGGATTGCTATTCTGCAGGTTTTGAATATTTTTGAAAGGATATTGTCACTCAGATTTATTTGAATTTGCTTCCATAATTGTACATGTGCTTGTTTGTCTTTCCTAGTGCTTCTATTTGCTGGAGCAGACAGCGTTATGGATGAGAAATGGTTTATACAGATTCTAACCTTGTATACCATAACCTGTTGACTGAAATGCCCAGGGAATTTCTCTGGCTGTGGACAGTCATTGTAGCTTGGAATTGTTTGGGTTTCTACTCTAGTTGATTTATACTTGCAAAACAATTTACTATGCTCCAAGGGTAGACGAGTGTAACAGCACTGTGAGTAGCCACTGACTGACAGTGGAGTGTATTTGAAGAGAAGCTGTATATATAGATGTGACAATGAATCACTGCGATGGGAGAGCTTGGCTGAAGAGTGAAATCGAGTTGTGGAGAAAGCTGTGAGCTTTTCGAGCAACTGGAGAAA